TATATATATATATATATATATATATACCATAATATTTATCAATATATTATATTGCAAAATATATTAACATGAATCACTGCATGATTTAAAAATGCTCCAAATAGCACATTGAGCTCCAACTGATGCAAGAACATCTGACATAATATTTTATATGGATGGAAATGAGGCTGTATTTGCAATGGCGAAGGTCCTAGATCACTTAGATCACTTTCAAAGCTGGAATGGAGTTTTTGTCTACTAAAAGTCTTTTGGAAAATGTTTTGTCAGCTGAACAATTAGCATGTTGTTAAACAAGAGTACAATCCATTGAACACGCTGTACTTCCAATACTAACAGCCTTGTTTTCATTGCTGTCAAAAAATAAATATGGTGCTACCCTTACTAATGTCTATCATATATTGACCTAAAATAGTGTAGTAATTTATTTTTATTATTTTTTATTTATTCATTGATTTTTTTTTTTTTTTTAAGTTTCACTTCTGTTTTAAATAAATGCTGTTACTTGAACTCCAAAGCAATTATATTAGAATCATATAAGAAATAATATTAGAATGATTTCGGAAGGATCATGTGACACAGAAGTCTAGAGTAATGGCTGCTGAAAATTCGTCAGTTGCGGTGATATAGTTACCCTGGAGGAAGAGAAAGCAACACAGCTTTACTAGCAGTAGTTTGAATCTGCACCACAGGGAGTTCAGAGACTATGCTCTTCCACGAGAAAGGCTTAGCTGTTAGAGAACCAGGCCTGGCTGATGACTCCTTCTCTGTACACAAAACAGACCCACACTTTAGACAGGATCCTTGTTCTTGTGAACAGACAAACTGAGTGTGTACAGTATGTCTATCTGTCCTTACTCTCTTCCACACTCTCTCCCCAGTGCACCAAAGCTGAGAATCCAATGGCAATTTCTGTGGGTAACAGGCTATCTACAAACAGGAAGTGAGTACCTTTTCCATCTGCAGACTGAGAGAAGCAAGAACAATGGAATGGAACAGACATCAGCACAGACCTTATTAATGCGTTTCGGTTTTGTATGCATTCTCAGGAGACAATAAAATACACACACACACACACACACACACATTACATAAACTCACACTCACAGTAATTACCAAATATTAAATTAAACCACATGTTCTCAGTGGTTAAGGTTTGAAAAAAAAAGTCCAGCTCACCAGCATTACAGCAAAATGGGGAGAGAAGAGCAAAAACAGCATGGTTATCAAAAACCTCTCATTTGTGTTTGTGTGTATGTGTGTGTACCTGTGTGTGAACAATTGCAGTGGAATCAGGTTGTCTAGCATGAGCGGACACGGAGTGGGTGGAGGCCACAGCGTTGGACAATGCAGCAGCAGACAGCCGAGAGGAGATGGAGTTCTAACAGAGAATTTAGTCACTTTCATGTTCTTTCCTAACACAACACATCCCTCCCACCACAGATACCATAATTATACCAACCACCATTACAAATGCCACAACAACAGGTTTAGATTATTCTTATATTAGGTGTTTTTATGATAATGCATTCTGAATGTCATATATACAGTCAGCAAGGGTGTTACCATAGCTACAGCTCATGGGGAAAATTAAGAGTAATAGGGAAGCATTTGTTAAAATTAGATTTATTTTTTTATTCATTAAGCAAACTGTTTGTGTTTGGGGGGGGGGATTTCCAGCAAGGGCACATTAAATTGATCAAAAGTGACTGTAAAGACACTTATAATGCCAAAATATTTCCATTTCAAATAAATGTTGTTCTCTTGAAGTTTCTATTTGTTGGTGAATTCTGAAAAAAAGTGCATCACATATAGCCTATTAAGCAGCACAATTTTTAACTGATGTTGATGTCCCTACTTTAATGATGTAATTATAATTAAATGTAACCCCAAATATAAAAAGAAGAATAATATTTATTAGTTTCGGTATACACTAGTAAAAATATTACTATATTACATTTAACATTAAGTTTGTCTTTTCCTTCAAAACCCTACCTTAAAGTGTGATGTCTTACACTGATGTGCATAAGTATCTGGCTTGTGAAAAACCAACAGCGTCCTGCAAAACACATGATTATTAGCATATTGTAGCCTGCAGCTTAATAGGAATTTAAGGGCATGAGGAGTTCATTTGACAAAATAGCAAAGGATTAGCATAATATGGCTTAGGCTGTTGCTGAAGATGATTGACCCTTACTGGAAGCATTTAGTGAAGTTGTGCAGGTCCACCCAGGTCTCCAGCAGCGGGGGTTTGTCTGATGCTAATGCATCTTGGGACAGAAGCAATGAACCGCTGGACTCTTTGGCTGTCTGCAGCCTCTCCTTATCTTTTCCATCTGTCTCTTTGTCAGGCCCTGAAGTTGACTTCACTTCTTCCATATCTTGTAGATTGAAAAAAAAAATGTTATACAATAGTCTATTACAAAACAAGTAAGCAATGCTAGTAGGGATACACATTAGTGACCTTGCCTTTTTCAGTGCTGAAATAGTAAGGCCATATTACAACATCAAGAAACTACTGAAATTTAAAGTTGCAATGAAACAGAAGTAGCAACAGATATTTTCTTCTGTATTATGATGTGTGTCCAAGTGAAACCAGGGCAGGGACTTGGTACTATACATTGTTGTTGATTGGATAGGGGCAGACTTACAACTTATACATAGATGATTTGTCCACAATAAGACAAATAACATACATTTACTATAGAAAATAGTGAATTTTTCATTTCATGACAAATGTAAAAATTTTACACTTCAAGCAAGCAACTACTTTGAGAATAAAAATTAAACATTCTAAACCAGCATAAAATTGTTTTCTAGGATAGATTAGCTTTTCATGAAGATACCATGATTAACTCAGTGGTACCAATCAGTAAAGCTCATTTAGCCAATCAGGCACTGTATTGAATTTATAAATGCTCTTTTATTGGTGTCACTCAATTCATTATGCCAATTTTGAGAAATACTGTTATACATTGCAGCTTGAACTCATTACACTCAGCGTGCTGTGCTGACGTATTAGACCATGATAATATAGATGCTGTAGCAAAGCCATTCACTTCATTTATTTATCCACAGGTGTTACTAAGCAACACACTGGGCTCTCTGGGAAAGCACATAATTGGCCTGTCGTGATGAGGGGTGAGCACATGATCATGATCACAGAGATAGAGATGATGCCATGCGTCTATGTGTGTGTGTTTGCATCTGTGTTTGTGCTGATGAAAAGAAGATGGATTGGATGGGGGAAGAGAGGGATAAACGAGAAAGTGCAATTGTGAAGGCAGCCAGCTATCATATCATTACAGCAGCTATTAGCCTCACTGCTCTGATGGCTAAACAATGACTTGAGGGAGATAAGTGAGGTGAATTATCGTCTGCCTTTACAAATTCATTATTTTCACTTCACTTTCATTGTATTGCACATTGTTCCAGAAGCACTCAATTGAAAATGAGTAATGCTTTCCCAATCATCCAACTGAAAAAAAGCTTGTAAATGATGGCATGGATTATTTGAATGAAAATATTTCGCTTGAGGTGTTTCCAGGTCAGCTTTCAATCTAAACATTACTGCTAACTGCAATACATAACACATATAACTGGCGAATATGAGCATTACACATATACGCTATGTGTTTGAGTGACAGTGCGGACTGAGCTGCGGCATTGCTTACGAGACACGTCTCACCGTTGGCGATGCTGTCGTCCTTTTTCTTGTCCTCTGCTGTTACCTGGGGGGAAATGGAGGGATAAAAAGTGCACAGGGTGAGCTGGGAGAGACATGGCAGAGGAGGGCAGAGGAAAGCAGTGGAGACGGAGGACGTCCACATTCATTCAGTCAGCATGCGCTGAGCCCGTTTGGCTTCCAGAAGCTAATCTGACATCTGGACTCCCACCAGAAAGGGTTTTCTCCTTCAATTAACTGCTCACAGGACAGCGAGTGCCATAAACATTAAGGGCACTCGGATGGTGACAGGATTAGGGGACACGGGTTTGATTAGCATGTCAGTCTTTATTCGCTAATTGAGACACCTTTTTGTAAAACTATTCGAATGTGCGTTTTTTTTTTACCTTGTAAGTAACCCGGTGTGATGCCATGGAAACAATCCAGCTGAAGGCCTACGAAACTTCACCAATGTGCTTTTTTCCCCATGATTGAACCCAACCTCGTGTCATTTAGAAAGCCTTTTAAAGCCTGAGGAGTCGTCCGACTGTGCAATTTAAATGTGGAGGACAATTAGGGGCTCTCTCTACGCCACATCTAACGAACGACAGCACCAGTGATTCAGAGATAGACAGTGACTCACCACGGATCTGAGGTGAGGAGAAGGGGAGAGTGGAATGGAGGAAAAGAATGGAGAGCAGAGGGGAGTGAGTGGGATAGGGAGAAGAGAACCAGCAGTCCAGCAATTTAAATGTAATTTTTTAATATGGTAGTAAACACCTTAGGGTGCATTTCACACATTACTGTGGTAAACTAGCGCCTGTTCATACCTAATTCAGCTTACAACATTATCAGAAACTCAATATAGGTCTAAAATAGATCAGGTGACCTCAGCCAAAAAAAAAACTGTATGACTTTCTTCTCTCTGTGGAACATAGAAGAAGATATTCTGAGAAATGTCTCAGTGATTTGTGTCCATACAATGGAAGTCAGTGGGCTCCAATTTTTGGTTGACAATGTTCTTCAAAATATCTTCTTTTTGCGATACTGACTTATTCTTCTCGCAATTGCGAGTTTACATTTTGCAATAATGCAATTACTATTTACATTTTGCAATTATGCAATTACTTTTTTCTCAGAATTGCATGACATAAAATCGCAAGACTTTATTTCTCAGAATTGTGAGATACAAAATCGGAATTGCGAGTTATAAAGTCAGAATTGCATGATATAAAGTAACAATTGTGTGACTTTTTTCTCAGAATTTCGAGTTCATATCCTGCAATTCTGACTTTATAACACAGAATTGTGAGTTATAAAGTCAGAATTGTGAGAAATAAACTTGCAGTTGTAAGAAAATTGTACTTTCTAGCTTGCAATTGCGAGTTTATATCCCGCAATTCTGACATAACTCACAATTCTGACATTATAACTCATAACTGCAAGTTTATATTACGCAATTCTGAGAAAAAAGTCAGAATTGAGAGATATAAAATCGCAATTGTGAGAAAAAAGTCAGAATTGAAGAGTTTGTATCTCGCAATTCTGACTTTTTCTAGCTATTATGTTTATATCTAGCAATTCTGACTTTATAAGTCACAACTGTGAGTTTATATCACGCAAGTCTGAGAAAAAAGTCAGAAATGAGAGATATAAACTCACAATTGTGAGATAAAAAGTCAGAATTGTGAGTTTTTTTCTCAATTCTGACTTTTTCTAGCAATTATGTTTATATCTCGCAATTCTGACTTTATAAGTCACAACTGTGAGTTTATATCACGCAATTCTGAGAAAAAAGTCAGAATTGCGAGATGTAAACTCGCAATTGTGAGAAAAAAGTCAGAATTGTGAGATAAAAAGTGGCAATTACTTTTGTTATTTTTAATTCCGTGGCAGAAATGGGCTTCCATAAGTTTAAGTAATTAAGTAAGGACTTAGAACTTATTTTAGCTAGTTGCCAAGGAAACATCTCTAATTTTCATGTAGGTTTTTATAAGTTTAAGTTCTTTATTTCAATTAACAAGTGTTAATGAAAAAAAAATGGAAAAGAGAGGCCAGTATACTGTAAATAGTCAGTCAAATTTTGTGTTCTACAGAAGGTCAGAGCCACTGTAAATAATGTAAGTAAAAGTATTTTTGGGTGAACTATTCCTGTAAGGGTGTATCAATCCAGCTAGATCCCACAGGCACATACACACACGTCCACTTATCTTACAAACTACATGGAAGCTATCTGTCTCAGTCCGATCTAAGCTGAACCCCTTGTGAGACATCCACTCTAATGACTGACAGGCTAATTGTGCTGCTTTTTATATCATTCTGAGGACATGACCTGTCCTTTTATGCAACGAGGCACGCGTGTTTTACCATTCTCTCTCTCTTATTCTCTATCTCTCTCATGCTGGATCTGCCAGAGGCGCTCTCTTGATTAGGGAGACAGGCAGAATGACATTGGAGCTGGAAAGAGAGCGGTGTTAGAGGATGTCATAGCCTGACTCGGCCTCCCGGCCACCAGTCGCACTACAGAGAGCAGAACATTTTGATGCACACTGCTTGTACAGATGGCATAAACTGAAACACACTGCCACACAGTACACAGCGCAACCCCTGGAGTACAGTCAAACCCTCGACTGCATCTGTTCAGAGAGAGCAGTCACCATTCATACGACATAAAATACCGTTCGACAGTTTGGATTTGTAAGATTTGAAAGAAATGCATACTTTTATTCAGAAAGAATGCATTAATTTGATCAAAAGTGAAAGACGTTTATAATGTACAAAATTTAGATTTCAAATAAAAGCTGTTATTTTGAACTTTCTGTTCATCAAAATATCTTAAAATATTAAAAAAGCAGCAGAACTGTCTTTAGTGTTGATGCCAATAATGTTTTGTGTGGACAAAATCAGCATATTAAAAAGATTTTAAAAGGACAATGATTTTGATTTTGACGATTTTGAAAAACACTGAAGTCTGCAGTAATGGGCACTGAAAATTCAGTTTTGCTACCACAGGAATAATTTATATTTTAAAATATATTACAATAGAAAACAGTTCGTTTAAATTGTAAGAATATATCACAATATTACTGTTTTTGTATTTTATTCAAATAAATGTAGCCTTGATGAGCACAGGAGACGTTTTTTTTTTAAACGGTGGTGCACCAATCACATAATAGTTTAAGACAACATATCCATTTCTTTCAGAGATACCTGGGTGGTTTCAGTGGTGTCCAATGCATTTAGGCTGTTCTGGGTGATGTCATTTTTAGTGTGGTCATCTTCACTATCATCCATTTCAGAGAAGGAGGTCAGATTAGAATTATATCCACGCCTCTTTACACCACCCTGCTCCCTAAACACACACAAATACTGTATTTAATTACAAGCATTACTATCTTGTGTTTGTATCCTAGTAAAGAATAAAACAAAAGCACCACTTCCTGAGGTTAAGCACAAATGTTTCATGCTCTAAAGAGTTTCAGACTACTTAAGTGTGACTGAGTACGGTCTTGTGCTCAAGAGCAGTACAATGAGAACCTCAACACAGTCTCTGTCCCTGTTTGACTCTCCCACATAACCAATTACTGCTTTTAGCACACACTGTGCTAATGTACTCACATGTGCAACTGAATACCTGGAAATAAAACAAGCTCATATTCAGACACTCTAAATAATTCATGCCTGGTGGGTAGCAGGCATGCCATTTGGATCAGTTTTGACAGACAGAGTAAAAAACTTTTCCATTAGGTTCAAGCTTCCCGCTGACGGATCTGAGAAATTGTGGATTGACTGATATGAAAAAGTACTCATTACCACCTGGTGTACAGAGAAATGGACACATACATACTGTATGCATACATACATACAGTACAGTACATTAACTGTTAGGCAATAGATTCACTACTGTCCAGAATCAGAACTAGCGATGCCTGATTTGCACGTACATCACTTTTGTTTCATTTTTTTCGAATGACTCAGTCACAAACCAGTCTGCAATTCAGTCTTAAGGTTTTAAATGAGGTTTAAAATATAGTAAAGTTTTGTTTCATGTTTGTCGAATGAATCAGAAAAATGATTATAAAGATTTTGAGATTTTTTTTTTCACATAATAGAAAGTCAAGCAGTTTTGGAACAACATGAGGGTGAGTAAATGGGTTTTCATTTTTAGGTGAACTATTCCTTTAAGACTCGCCACACACACAGTGTTTCTGGCTGTCCTCCCCTGATGATGCCTACATTAAATTCTGGAAACTAACCCTGGAAAGGCATCCTATAATTAGCCAGCAATAAAGGTGTTTATTAAGTTAAACACTTGCATGTGCAGCTTGTAAATGATTCTATACTGCAAGTAAACACATTAGCGGCTTTCTCTAAAGGATAGTCTTCATCTTAGCTTGGCTATTTTTGCTGTAACGTAATTGGTAGCGCAGTCTGCAGTACAAACACACACACACACACACACAGACACACACACACACAGAGCTTACATGTCATGTGCAGCCATAGCCATGAGTTTGTAGTTGATAAAGGGGCTGGAAACTTCAA